TATCTACTTTTAGCTAGTCTTTAGTCACACTTAGCTAGTCTTAATCTACATTAACTAGTCTTTATCACACTTAGCTAGTCTTAATCTACATTAACTAGTCTTTATCTACATTTAGCTAGTCTTTATCTACATTTAGCTAGTCTTTGGTCACACTTAGCTAGTCTTAATCTACATTAACTAGTCTTTATCTACTTTTAGCTAGTCTTTATCCACACTTAGTCTTTATCTACCTTTAGCTAGTATTTAGTCACATTTAGCTAGTCTTTATTCATCTTTAGCTAGTCTTTATCTACCTTTAGCTAGTCTTTATCTACCTTTAGCTAGTTTTAGTCAGTTTTAGCTAGTCTTTATCTACCTTTAGCTAGTCTTTATCTACCTTTAGCTAGTCTATATCTACCTTTAGCTAGTCTTTAGTCAGTATTTTTGAACTGAACTGAATTCAAAACAAACAAACAAACAAACAGACAGACAGACAGACATGCATGCGAGTGAATGAATGAATTAGGGCTGCCACGATTAGTCGACAAATCGACGACTAATCAGTTATTAAAATAGTCGATGACTAATTTAATAATCGATTATTCTATTTTTTTCTTTACTTTGTTTTTCTCTCCAAACTTCTTTGACACCTTCCACTGCCACATCTGCCTTTCTGTCCTTGACACACATGCACAGTAGTGCTAACTGGGGTAGGCCGTGGACGTCACAAGACATTATACAGACAGGCTCTGGTATCATGGCTACCTGACAACAGAGCTCAAAGTGTGGGATCATTTTAAGAAAATGAAAGAGAAACCTGAGCAATATCTGCAGAGCAGAACTTACCTTCCACAGCAATTATTTTTAGTTAGCATATAGCTAAAATCTAACCATGGTTATATAATAGCAGCTGCATTCTGGCACGATAAGCTCTATGTTTTATATTCAATTAATGTATGATCTGATTAGTCGACTAATCAAAAAAATAATCAGTGATTAGTCGACTATATAAAAATAAGCGTTTGTAGCAGTCCTAGAATGAATGAATGAATGAATGAATGAATGAATGAATGAATGAACACCAAAGGTATATTTGTTACACCTCAGAGCTGCTCCTATTCTTTATTTTGAGTTGTTCTCACCATCCACACTTTACTTTTATCCATATTTTTATTCCCTCAAGCAAGATTGAGCAGATACAATGTTGATGAGGGGTTTTATTTCATTCAAAATGCTTACATTTGTAATATGATCTAGTATGAGTATACTTTTAGATTAAATCGTATTTACGTGAAACAAAACGTGGCTAATAAAAATCGTATAATTTCGTGAGCATTTTGTCTTTTTTACTTATTTAGTGTAGGTTGTGAGCTTTTGTCTTATGGGCGTATAACGGGACTGGTGATGATGCTAAGCACTGTGCAGTCATATAATCCCCAGGTTCCTCCTCCTAAACGGGGGTAAACTAGCTAGTTCCACCACCCGACATTTGCTTATTAATTTCATAAATACCCGACACATCTTTAGCTAATCCGCTAAGTTACTAAAAATGCAGCCAACCTTCAGAGAAAAGGTGAAAAGGTGTTTCCTATGGTGGTCCACAAAGGCTGGAGCGTACTTGCAGAGGACAGCTAATTTAGCTTAACACTGCCTGTTGGGGCCAGGGCACCAATGAAGGTCTTCTTCTTCTTCTTCTTCTGTGGAGTTTAACTGCAGCTTAAATGGGTGTTTTACCGCCACCTACAGGTATTCGATTATATGACTTCCAAAATCCTCATAAATAGACCCGTTTACCCGCTGGAGTGGCATAAAATATTTGCTACATCCACAATCTCTTTGGGATGAAACTTTTGCCAGCAGGAACTGAATTTGAACAGCTCAGATTGAATCTATATGTGCATAGTTTGAAATTGAATGCATTTGAAAATGGTCAAATCCAGTCGGTGTTTGATTTTTGTTTTAAAATATAGAAATTAAAATACAAAGTATTTCCCTTTCTTGGTGTCAAAAAAGAATGAGTGAAATTTTAAAAATTATTTGTGTTTCATTTTCTGTTTTGGATGCCAAAAAAAAAAGAAAATTACTTTGAAACAGAAATTAAAAAGTGCTTGTTTGTTCATATCTCATGGCAGGTCATGCCGTACTGTATCCCTAAAATAATCTGTTCCCACATCAGAAGGGCCCCTCACAAACTGTGAACTTTTAAACTCCAGCACCATATGATCTTGAATGTGCAAATTAATATAATTCCTCAAAGCAAACATGTGTTGTGAAAAACTTATTCTGCCACATTAACTGTAAGCATAAGTCAATGGCATCATCTTCTTCTGTTCTTAGAACAAGATAATCTAAATATCAGCACTTTGTGTCAGAAATAAGTTAATAATGGCCTATACCAAAGTACAAGTTTAAGCTTTAGTACTAAATGTAAACCTTAGTACTAATGTTCTCATTTCAGACTTCTCTTCATACTTTTCAGTATAAGGCTAAAAATACTAAACAATACTATTCTTAAGTATATCAAATATAGTTTATGAAAAGTAAAAGTTAAGTACACTGCCTTATTTTTCAGTATAAAATAAATACACTTGTAGTACACTGAAATAAACCACATTTTCCTACAGGGATAGTCTTCAAACAAACGATGCTTGATACTTGAGAAGATATTTTCTTTCAGCTGAATATTTACTTTCCAAAAATAAAGTGACTCACAGTTTTTACACCCTGACAAAGGTCAACATCAGAAACAAACAAAATCCTGTCACTATATTCTCATTAGAAACATAGTTCTCTCTTGTTAAACAACTAAAATTGAAAAAATATCAAAAATTACTTAAATGGATTGCCCTGGATGACGGGTTTAAGCCAGGGATATATGACTCCGTATTTAAAGACTGGATGAGAAAGGGTTTTTGTGTAGCTACTAAAAATAATAAGATAAGGCCTTTTTAGGAGTTGAAAGACACATTTCAATTGAAGAATCTAGACATGTTCAGATATCTACAGATGAGGGACTATTACAATAAAGAAATCAAAGGAACAGTCTTAGAATAACTAAATCCAATTATTGAAACAATATGCGAATCTTACCAACAAAAAAAAACCAAAAAGATAATTTCAAAAATCTACCATAGCCTAACGCATAACCTAAAGATCACTTTATGTAAAAGAGAAATGGGAACAAGAACTGAATGTTGTAATAACAGAAGAGAAATGGTACCAAACCTGCTGCTTATTACATACCTCTACTCTATGCGAGTGAATTCAAATGGAAATGTGTCATTAGGTTTTTTTGTCACTCCACATGTGAAGAATAAACAACTACAAATGTGGCAATGTTGAAGCTCATCACTCTCATATTTTCTGGTCTATCTGGGCTCTTGATAATACAAAAGGTACTGGGATACAGTGTCCCAAAAGAGTTTACTGTGATTTTATTTTGGGAAATATAACCAAAGTAGTACAGCACCACACCAACTACAATGGACTAACATAATACAGGACATATCTCAGATGGAAAAACTGAGGGATCAGACAAAGTGCAGCCCAAAGACCCCTTTTATGAGTACCATAAATTGAGTCAGTGTTCCCTTACCCGGACGCGGGTCACCGGGGCCCCACTCTGGAGCCAGGCCTGGATGTTGGCGAGCGCCTGGTGGCCGGGCTTTCACCCATGGGGCCTGGTCAGGTACAGCCCGAAGAGGAGACGCGGGTCCCCCTTCCCATGGGCTCACCACCTGTGGGAGGGGCCAAAGGGGTCGGGTGCAATGTGTGCTGGACAGTGGTCGAAGGCAGGGACGTTGGCGGTCTGATCCTCAGCTACAGAGGCTGGCTCTAGAAATGTGGAATGTCACCTCTCTGGCGGGGAAGGAGCCTGAGCTGGTGTACGAGGTTGAGAGGTTCCAACTAGATATAGTCGGACTCACCTCAACGCACCGCTCTGGAACCAGTCTCCTCAAGAGGGGTTGGACACTCTTCCACTCTGGAGTTGGCCATCCTGAGAGGCGCAGAGCAGGAGTGGGCATACTTATTGCCCCTCATCTTGTTGCCTGTACGTTGGGGTTTCACCTCGGAGAGCGAGAGGGTAGCCTCCCTCCGCCTACGGGTGGGGGGACGGGCCTGACTGTTGTTTGTGCCTAAGCGTCTAACAGCAGATCAGATTACCCACCCTTTCTGGAGTCCTTGGAGGGGGTGCTGGAGAATGCTCCTAACAGGGACTGCCTCGTTCTGCTGGGGGACTTCACTGCTCACGTGGGTAATGACAGTGAGACCTGGAGAGGCATGGTTGGAAGGAACCCCCCCCCCCCCCCCCCCCGATATGAACCTGAGCAGTGTTTTGTTATTGGATTTCTGTGACTTCTGTCCATGACAAACACCATGTTCAAACATATGGGTGTCCATATTTGCTCTTGGCACTAGGACACCCTTGGCCACAGTTCGATAATCAACTTTGTTGTTGTTTCATCTGATCTGTGGTTGCATGTTTTGTACACTCGGGTGAAGAGAGGGGCGGAGCTGTCAACTGACCACTACCTGGTGGTGAGTTGGCTCCATTGGTGGGGAAGGATGCCGGTCAGACCTGGCAGACCCAAGCGTATAGCGAGGGTCTACTGGGAACATCTGTCAGAGTCTCCCGTCAGACGGAGCTTCAACTCAAACCTCCGGGGGAACTTTGTACATGTTCCGGGGGAGGTGGGGGACATTGAGTCCGAGTGGGCCATGTTCCGTGCTTCCATTGTTGAGGCGGCTTACCTGAGCTGTGGCTGTAAGGTTGTCGGTGCCTGTTGTGGCGGCAACCCTCGAACCCGCTAGTGAACACCGGGGATGAGGGATGCTGTCAGGCTGAAGAAGGAGTCTTATCTGGTCTTTTTGGCCTGTGGGACTCCGAAAGCAGCCAATAGGTATTGGCAGTCCAAGCGGATTGCGGCTCGGGTGGTTGCTGAGGCAAAAACTCTGGCGTGGGAGGAGTTCGGAGAGGCCATGGAAAAAGACTTCCGTACGGCTTCGAGGTGATTCTCGTCCCCCATTCGGTGTCACGGGGGGGAAGAGGTTCGCAACTAACACTATTTATGGTGGGGATGGTGCGCTGCTGACCTCAACTCGGGACGTTGTAGGTCGGTGGGCGGAATACTTCAAAGACCTCCTCAATCCTACCGACACGTCTTCCAATGAGGAAGCAGAGCCTGGGGACCCTGGCTCGGACTCTCCAATCTCCGGTGCCAAGGTGGATAAAAAGCTCCTCGGTGGCAGGGCGCCAGGGGTGGATGAGATTCGCCCAGAGTTCCTTAAGGCTCTGGATATTGTGGGGTTGCATTGGTTGACGCGCCTCTACAATATCGCATGGACATCGGGGGCAGTTCCCCTGGATTGGCAGACAGGGGTGGTGGTCCCCCTATTTAAAGAGGGGGACCGCAGAGTGTGTTCCAACTATAAGGGGATCCCACTTCTGAGCCTCCCTGGTAAGGTCTATTCGGAGGTTCTGGAGAGGAGGGTCCGTCGGATAGTCGAATCTCAGATTCAGGAAGAGCAGTGTGGTTTTCGTCCTGGTCGTGGAACAACGGACCAGCTCTATACCCTCAGCAGGGTCCTGGAGGGTGCATAGGAGTTCACCGATCCAGTCTACATGTGTTTTGTGTACTTGGAGAAGGCATTCGACCATGTCCCTCAGGGACTCCTGTGGGGGGTACTCCAGGAGTATGGGGTACCAGGCCCATTGATACGGGTTGTTAGGTCCCTGTTTGACCGGTGCCAGAGCTTGGTCTGCATTCTGGTCTGCATTGCCAGCAGTAAGTCAGACTCGTTTCCAGTGAGAGTTGGACCCAGCCAAGGTTGCCCTTTGTCACCGATTCTGTTCATAACTTTTATGGACAGAATTTGATTCCTCTGGGACAGCCCAGAGGAAGACCCAGGACAAGCTGGAGGGACTATGTTTCTCGGCTGGCCTGGGAACGCCTTGGGATTCCCCCAGACGAGCTGGCCCAAGTGGCTGGGGAGAGGGAAGTCTGGTTCTCTCTGCTTAGGCTGCTGCCTCAGCGACCCGTTCCCGGATAAGCGGCAGAAAACGGACGGACGGACTAGGGTTAGGGTTAGGTTAAGTAAGTAAGTACGCAAGTAAGTTAGAACGTCAGTAAGTAAGTAAGTAAGTAAGTAAGTAAGTAAGTAAGTAAGTAAGTAAGTAAGTAAGTCAGTAAGTCAGTAAGTCAGTAAGTCAGTAAGTAAGTAAGTAAGTAAGTCAGTAAAAGTAAGTAAGTCAGTAAAAGTAAGTAAGTAAGTAAATAAGTAAGTAAGTAAGTAAACTTTATTTCTATAGCACCTTTCACAGACACAAACATCACAAAGTGCTTCACAGAAAGCAAAAATAACTAAAAACAATAAAACAGATCACAGATATAAAAAACAACAGTTAAAACACAATAAAAAGCACATTAACTAAAAGCCTGTCTGAATAAAAATGTCTTAAGATGTTTCTTAAATGAGTCAGTAGAATCTGAGCAGCGACGGGACAGAGGGAGAGCGTTCCAGAGCCTCGGTGCCACTACCTGAAAAGCTTTGTCTCCACAGGTTTTATAATGGGTCTGAGGGACCACCAGCAGCATTTGATTAGAAGACCTCAAAGTCCTGGATGGACAGAGAGGCTTCAGAAGGTCCAGGATGTATTTGGGGGCCTGACCATGAAGTGCTCTAATGACTCCTCAAATGCACAGGGAGCCAGTGCAGAGGCTAAAACAGGCGTAATGTGGGCTCTTCTGTGGGTCTTTGTTAAGTTAGGTTAGGGTTACATACAAAATATGTTCACAATGTGAATTTCCTGTCACTTTGCTGCTGATGCACCTTAACTACCGAGGGACAATAAAGACAATAAGAGACAATTTAAGAAAATAAAGCAAAGTATTTCAGCATGAAAGCTCTTATTTTTATTGTGTGACCTTGTCCAATAACACAACTACATCTCTGCTGTTTGTAACAAACCAAATTGTGTAAAAAAAATCATGGAGTTGATTATTTTAGTTGTATGAACAGCTTTCTTAGTTTAAATAAATGCGATGGGAGCGCGAGAAAGACCCTTCCAAGATGGCGTCCGCAGGGTGTCGCTTGTGCTGTTTGGGGCTCGTACTGCGCAGCCGCAGACCGCGTGAGGAAGATGGTGCTCGTTAAGGAATAGTGAGTCTGAATTGTTTTCTTTAAACATTTTTTAACACATATAACGAGAGACTTATATATTCCCAATAATGCGTTAGTGAGGACTGGACGTTTGTTTCTTATGCAGTTGTCCCGGGTATTTTACAGCCGTGTAGCCGGTAAAAAAGGAGAGCTTGAACAGGGTGGATCAGGACACGGATAACGGGACACACCGGTCTTATAATTAGACGCAGCTAAGCTAGCGCCAGATTCTGAGTTGCAGCAACGTGGAGGATAATTAGCTTTTTAATGAAAACGCGGCTTGCGGTAAAAAGCTGCTAAGATTACACACATTTAGTTAGTGAGCAAGATATCCATCGCTAGTTAAATTCAAGTGATTAAAGGGAAGTTAAGCTAGCCTGCTAGCGTGTGACGTCACTAATGTTAAGCTGTGGTTGTGAGTGACAGATTAAGGTTTCTGCTCTGAAGGATTTAACAGTGCTGCTAGCTGTAGCAGCCGGCTACCTGCGAGCATGTGTTCACCTGTTAAACCTGCACCTTACAGTTTGCTTTGTACACTTATCAAGGCGTGATATGAGTTTGGCCCATATCATGTCGCATTTCCACCTGTCAGGTTAGCTTTAGGATTCAAATTTATTGTTATTTGCATTAGCATTAAATGCCCTCTGGGCATCTAATACTAACCATCTTAATGTTTTTTTTGCTCCACCAAAAAACCTCAGACATGATCATGTTACAGCGCTTATTGTTTTTACCTTTTTAATCTAGGGTCAGTTCTGAATTACATAAAAAAATTACCCCTAGATTTGTGTTTAAACAGTTGGATTCCATTTAAAGGACAGGAAAAAATTGTATAGGTCTTCTGGACGGGTTCTTCTCTAATGAAACGTTTCGTCTCTCCTCCAAGAGACTTCTTCAGTCTGAGAGTTTCAGGCAAACATCAGGCTGTTGTATATGCTGTTAAGTGCCAGGAGGACTGCGACCAGTTATACATCGAGGAAACAAAGCAGCCGCTGTTCAAAAG